CATACATGTTGCTGTGTTCTTTGAGAGTAGCCTGCCAGGGCTCACATCTTTGCTTATCCTGTGTTGCTTGAGAGTAGCCTGACATGGCTCCTCTTCAGCTTTTCATGGCTCACATGCTAAGCTTTCATTAGCAAACCAAGCAAACCAATTGCTCAAAGCACCCATGGAGAACATGCTCTACAAAGTGAACACAGCCTTCATGAGCATTTGCCAACAGGCCCACATCACCATTGCACTCCCTGTGTGTATTTATTTAGCTTGGTTTTCTTGAACACCCTTGCCCAAGCCAAGCCATGGACAAGGTGACCAAAGAGAAGATGAGTGCGATCCTGAAAAGCAAGGATGGTGTAAACAACAAATTGGAGAAGATCTTGGCATTGCTCACCCTTGCCAACCTGGCCTATGGGCTGATTCTCAAGCCTGACTCCTTACATGTCCATCCTCACAACAGAGGATCTCAGATGGTCAATGCCTTTGAATGGCACAAGAAGGGGCAGGCAATCCTCTCTGCTGGATTGAAGCCAGACCTTTTGGGCCCTTCTTCTATCTGCATAGAAATGTCGAGCCACACAGATACCTGGATGAAGCAACAAGAAGCCAACATCAACATGTGTGCAGCATCAGAAGGACTGTTGCCAGTGCCCACTGGCTCAGAGCGATATCTTACACTTGGCAGTTCTCACTTCATCATGTTCCTCAAGGCTCTACAAGGACAATGCTTGTCTCCTACAGGCGAAAGACTTCATGTACCAGCAGAGTTGGAAGGCCTAATTGCCTCAGGCTGGAAGTGGACTGTGATCAGCAACACTGTCGAAGCAGAGTTTCCTCAGTTCCTTCCTTCTGCCAAGCAGCACTTAATTCAGTGAACTCGAACAACACTTCGACCTGTGAACTGGAAGCAATGCTTCAGCTGTCCAACTATGTCAAAGCAGGCCTGACTATGCAAGGTGCAATTGCTTAGTGATCCTGCTTCCAGAAGTTTTCCTTTCAAATGTGGATGCATCAAAGCTTTCTTGGACCTGGGCAAAGTGATAGCCATTGTAGAAGAGTATGCATTGGTCGAGCACTTGCCTAAGTTGGATGCAATGAAGTGTGACAGCACAAATACCAAAATGCTCTTGGTAGATTGCCAAGCAGTGGAAAGCCCCATGACCTTTTCCAAGTCCTCTGAAGGAGGCATCACCTGCTTGGTTCCTTCACATGCAAAGATGATGCTTCAGTTTCACAAAGCATGAAAAGGCATTGGAGTTTGTTGCGCTGTTTCACATTAGCCCTTTGTGGCTCTCGTCCTTTTCTACATTAGCCCTTTGTGGCTCTCTTGTGGTTCTTCCTTTTCCACACTAGCCCTTTGTGGCTCTCTTCTGCTTCTTCCTTTTCCACATTAGCCCTTTGTGGCTCTCTTGTGCACTGTTGCTTGTCACATTAGCCTTGTGGCTCACTTGCCTGCGCAGTACTTTTACATGAAAATCAATGATTTTTTTGAAAAAAAACCTAATTTTCCTAACTAGTTATAACTATTTAGTAATTTCATCTTAATTATGTTAATTATGTTAACTAGTTATAAAAGCCCAGCCGATCTAAGTTGTTTTTCACAATGGCGACGCAACCAACGCCATCCAAAGCCTGCCGCCCAAACAATTCAATGATGCTTTGGCTGTGACGTTTTGTACTCAGTTGCAAGAAGCACAAGACCAGCAAGAGGGGCAAGCTGCAGTTCGTAGGATTGCTCAGTTTCAGCTTGACAAAGCATTGTTTGTGGATCAAGCCAACTGTTTGCGAGACACGAACCCAGTGTATGCTGAGGGCGTGACTGAGATCAACCGAGACCTGTTGACTGAGTGGGTGGATCAACAAGTCCCGCAGCCCATTTTGGATTGTGTGTTGACAGTTCCAGTCGGAGAAGGAGGTCCTGGAGTGATGCGTCAAGAAGGTCCGGCGAGTGCCACAGAACAACGCACGACACCGGATGAAGATCCCGTGATTTTTGCGATGGAGTCTGAAGTCTCTGATTTCAATAGCAAACGACTGGACCTGTCCAATCGCATTGTGGTGCTTTTACAAAAACTGGAAGAGCTAGAAGCAGCGGGCGCACGATCTGTCGCTCTTGAAATGGAAGCCTTGGTTGAGGATGAAGGATCGCAGTGGGTGGATCAGGCTGGTCGAAAGCGCATTTTAGAACTTTGCAATGAAATTCATGAGTCGTGTGAAAAGGTGTCCCACGCAGGCATGAGGACCAAATTGGAAGAAGAACTTCGTGATATTGTGGAGGGCCGGTCCAGGTGGCTTCTAAAAAGTGAGACCAACAGTAATGGAGAGCCCAGCTTGGCTGAAGTCGACGTGACGACGGCAAGCGGTGTGGGAGCCGAAGTCGACGTGACGATGGCGAGCAGGGAGCGATCCGGCCAGGTAGATCGCAGTGGGCCTGGACATTTGGTGGTGGCTCGAGGCAAGAAACCACTCAGTCTTTTGGATTGGAAGATTTGGGCCATGGCCCGGCCACGCTTGTGGCGATATGGTGATGCTGCGAACTTGTATCCTGATCGAGAGGTACCTTTGGCCACCCGGGAGTGGGCTGCATGTTTGCTTTTGCGGGAGGAATTGGAATACAGTTTGAGTGATGATGTTCACGAGAGTCCTGTGCAAAATCGTTTTAGTGGCGATTGGGTGGCCTTGCACATGATAGCCACAGTGTCCCGCTTGACGGACCAACATGCGGCAACCTACAATTTCTTGAAGAATGGTGGCATGGTGTTTGCTAAGACTCTACGAGGATTGTCTGCTGAAAAGTTGGCACAGGCAGCGAGAGTGAGCAAAGATGCGGGTGCGTCGTTGCAGCAGTTGCACACCACCCCGGGCATACCTCGAGAGGTCAAGGATGCCCTGCATGCCATGAACGGCGCATCCAGCGCCGTTTTAGGCACAGACGGCCATCGTCAGTTCTGCCGTCATGAAGGATGTGCCTACATGGAAACCTTCGGTCCGCCTCTGATTTTCGTCACTCCAAACGTTGCCGACACTCAGCACCCCTTGCTTTTGATCGTGCAAGGAGAACAGATTGACCTTGGAGCGGTCAGTGCTGACATGGCATCGACTTTGCCAAAATACCGAGATATGCTTCGGCGTGTGGCCCAGGATCCAGTCGGGCAAGTCGGGCAATTTGAAATGTTGATGAGTTTATTTTTACAGCACGTCTTGAATGTGCGGCCAGAGACCCTGGATTGCCGCCGCAACTCCGTCAGGGCTGCGTGCCGGGAGTGGTGCAGCGACGGTGTCGCTGCGGCATCCAGTGGTTCTGGCATGGTTGGGCCGGTTCTTGCATTTCGTGGCGAAATCGAAGCTCAGGGTCGTGGGTCTTTGCATCCCCACATCTTGGTGTGGTTGGTTTGTGGTCACCTGGAGGTCTTGAGTCAACTGACGGAAATCTTGCGCACCAAGCAGCACGAACTGCGACAACGCTTGAAAGAATTCATGCAATTGGCGGTGGCAAGTTTTGAATCCATTTCGCATGCTTCTGTGCAAGCGGCTCCACGTTGTGTTGGAAGTGATATTTTGGATGCACCTGTCAAGATCACGGAGGTGGCGCGTGATCTCTTCAGGGGTGATGGTGGCTCGGATAAGGAACTGCTGGAACAATTGAAAGAGAAAACACCTGAACAAGAAGAGTATCTGCTGTGGATTTCTGAGGAAGACTTGGCGGCGACCCAAGTTCCAAGTGGAAGCAACAACAACAGGTAAGCAGAGCATATTTGCAACACCCATCAACCAGCTGTCGGTGGCGTCCACTCCGAAGTATCGTTTGCGGTCATTGCTGTGTGATCCGCATGTGCCGGAATTGGATGCGGATGCTTGGCGGACTGCATTTCAGCAAGACTTACATTCGTTGATGCCTTCGCTGCTTCGACATGTCTGTACAGAATCGTGTTACAAATATTCTGATTCGACTTCCAAGACCTTCAGAATTTGTCGACATGGCTTCTATCATGTGATTCACATATGCGACGGTTGTCGTGTGCGTCGCAAAGGGAAGTATCTGCGACCGACTTTGTACATTGCTGGTGAGGACGAAGCTGCGCATGGCATGGAAGGGCGAGTGCGCCCAATTCAATTGTCTCCCTTCGAATGTCAAACTTGCTATGGTGGAACTGTTTCAGGAAGACACAATTTAGATTTGCAAGACATGCGTCGGGTGGTAAGTCCGCATTTCTGGTTGGAGCCTGACGACCAGCTGCCACATGTTGGCCGGCTTGATTTTCTTGGATACATGGCCTCTTGGGAGTGGACTGGTTGTCAGTATGAAGCTCGACCGAAGCTTGCTGAGGAACCTGTCCCTTGGAGTGGTAGGAAGAAGAGTTTGGTTACATCTTTTCGTCGTGCCTGGCGTCATGCTTACAGATCCAAGTTTTCAGCGGCGGAGCCGACGCAGGCGGAGGAGGCAGAGGAAGCTGGAGATCATGATGTGGAGCTGTCGCAAGCGATCAGTATCAGTGTCAATGAAGCCTTTTGTGATGGTATCAATACAGGCTTTTATGTCAACAACTATACAACAAAACCGGGCCCGGGCTTGAAAACACTGATGGATGAACTGCAGACGGGCATCCAACGGCTGGAAAATGAAAACAAAGAACGTGAAGAAAAGAGAAAAGCAGAGCGGGAGGCTGCAGAAGCCGCTGGGGAACACCTGCCGGGGCGTCGCAACAAAATTTTTGCTGACACGTTGCGTACCCTGATGCGATTGACGGCATCATATCGACGCTGTCATTGGAAGAGCGCGGCTGATATCAACACTTGAATTTGGCTTCGCACAGGACTTGGAAACTTTATGTCAAGAAAGCTGTTTTTTTTCGCAGTTGAAGCTTGGCGTCGTCAGTATGGCGATTCAGTCTGACAGCACATTGAGGATCCAGGAGCCTGTCGTATTCAGGCGGCCTGGAGTGGATGATCTGGAGTTGAAGGGTTGGAAGAAAGTTTATCGCAAGGATCCGGCCACGGAGGTGGTTGATGAAATTTTTGTGGGTCCGAATGGACAAGTGTGTCCAGACCTTTTGGCTGCCTTTGAAGAATACCAAGGACGTGAGAGGAAGAATGCCGGACAGGCGTTGAGCTATGTGCAGGAACTCCTCAAACTTCATGCTGTCACGGAGATGGTTGTTCCGATTGATACGGACGCCAGCGTTGCTACGAATCTGCAGTCTCTGCAAGCAGATGGCCAAGAGGTAGCTGTGAAGACCACGAGCAATGTGGAAGCCAAACGTTTGGCCGTGACATCATCCAGTCTGGAAGACTATCTGTTTCGTGGCGATCATCCTTTGCTGGCAGGCTCTGCGGGGTCTCTAAATTTTGCTTCTTTGTGGCTTGTTACCTGTGCTTTTTTTTGGCGACGTGAGTAATTTGTTGTGTTGATATTGATATGCACACTGTGGTTGGTATCATATGTGTAGAAGTTTTGTTTCATATTTTCATTTTCATATGTGTATCATGGTTCGGGTCTCGGATTTTGTTGGCACAGGCATGAGTTGGGCCACGTATGGAACGTGGGTCTACCGTGTGGAATTGGCACGGGGTGCAGACAAGTCGGTGAAGTCGGCCATACCTCGGTTTGTTGATATTTATTTCGATTGCTCGTACAAGCTTTACAACAGTCATGCACAGCGGATCTCCAGTGAACCGCGTGTGCCTATGTTTGAAGGCTTCACTATGCCACCGCTGACACACGACGGCGAGCGGAACGCCATGTACAAGCAAGTGCAGTGCCGACCAGTGGGAGTGCATCTGGTGAAAGAGGTCGATATTCAACACACTGAGGAAGAGTTGGTGCTGAATGCTTTCAAGACATTTTCAACACCTGTAGTTGAAACTGGCGATGTTCATGTGGATCGATCTCGACAGGCACACACTGCTTTTACAAAATCCTTTTTGGAATGGAAGTGTGGCATGGAGAAAGAAGCTCAACTGGCCAGGCATCGGTTTGCGGAAAGATATGAATACCCGAGCCTGTGGGAGACCCAAGAAATGATCACAGAACTGGAAAGCAGATATTTGAGGTATCTGGATGCTGAGACATTGCCACCTACAGGACAGGATTTTGATCTCGGGAAGCCGCGGTGCACTGTTTCTATGTATTCGTCGCTTCTGGCACAACAGCGGATTGCAAATCTTGAAGGACTTGCACGTGCCAGACAACACAAACCGAAACGTAGAAGAGACGAAGATGCTCATTTGCATGAGGAGTATGTGAAGATGCACACGCTTGGAGAAGCTGATGATGTTGGCGCGGATGGCGACAACGATGAAAATCTAGAGGCTTTGGTGGAAGAGACAAGTGTGGTGAAAAAGGAAGTCTTCCCGCCAATTGGTTTGCGCCTCACTGCAGAAGAGCAGAAACAGCTTTTGCGCTTTGATCTGCAAGGTCGCAAGAATGACTATGTGAAAACATTTCTGCAGGAGACCTGGATGAGAGACGATGTATTTGAGGCAGCATCACGCTGTCGGAACAGTGAACCGCAGAGACAGGAACAACTTCTGGCTGACCTCTCTGGCTTGAATCAGGACGGAAACAGCATATCTGGGAGATGTTGAAGGGTGTATTGTTTGATATGTAGTCTCTGTGGCACATACTTCGGTTGCGATGGGACCATTTGAAGGTTGAAGGAACTTCATAATTTTGAAGTTATATTTGATTTGTTGTGGGTTTTTGGTTTTTGAGTGTAGTTGATTTATTGCAAACGTAGAATTGGCCAGGATGCCCGGCAAGATCTCTATTGGAGTGTCCGAGAGACAAAACCAGGGGAAGAGGAGGAAGATGTCGAAGCCCAGACGGATGAGCCGGACGAGGTGGTTCGTTTGCGTGCTCTCCGCACCTTACTGCCTTTGCTCCCACGGGATTGTGCACGTTTCACGGATCAGAACGTGTACACGACACCCTCTGCCATGCTGTCAGACATGGTCGCAAATCTACCCACCACGGGCAGATTGAACGAGGATCAGATGCTCTTTGCATTACGGTTCGGAGATGTGTTGGACACTCTCTGGAAAGAAGAACAAGAGTTGCCACCTGAACGGAGATCTGTGTATCACATGTTGTTACTGGGACAGGGCGGATCAGGCAAAACTCATGTTGTGCAAAAGTTTATTTTTCCGGTTGTGCATTTCATCTGGCCGCCAAGCAAAGAGGAAGAGTCTCTGATGGTTGTTGCGGCCAAAAACTCGCAAGCCAAAAACATTTCTACAGAAGGTGTGCGAGCCAAGACATTGCATAGAGCAGGTTGCATGCGGATCCAAAGTTTGAAGAATCAGGATATGGCTCCAGGCAAGAAGGAAAAGGCTTTGGAGAAAACTTGGAAGAATGTTCGTGTCTTGATCATCGAAGAGATCAGCATGGTGTCGGCTTTGCTTTACAATATGCTTGATTTTCGTGCCATGTGTGGTCGCCGGCTTCCTTTCAAGGTGGACCGAGACACTTACATGAAAGTCGGCTGTGCTTTCGGGCGGGTTCCCATCGTCATTCACCTGGGAGACTTTTTCCAATTACGTCCGACTGGTCAGATATCCTTGATTGAAGATCTGAACCGGCGAGATGAAGACGGCCAGTACGTCCACAAAGAGGTCCCTGGGGTCGAGATCCCAGATGTTTATGAGCTACGTGGCACCATGCGCTTCAAGCCGCAAGATCCGCTTATCGAGATCTTGCAATGCATGCGGCTTGGCCACACACTGCCGGATAGGCTCTGGGCTCAGTTCCAGGACCACGTGATACGAGATGAAGCTCCCGGCATTGCTGATGCTCGCTTGGATTCGGAGAACTTTCGGTCGGGGTACTGTATGTCGATTTACTGGGCATCTTTGATTCGCATGATGTATCGTCGCACCATCCTGCAGGCGAGCCGATGCAATCAGACACTGGTCTTTTTGCAAGCTGCTGATACTTGTATGGGCATAAACCATGAGACTGGCATTCGGTTTTTGAATCAGCCGAACCCGTACAACACTGGTTTGATTCATGGCATTTTGCCTTGCTTTGTTGGCATGGAAATTCGCTTGTTGGCGCGTGTGGATGCCGACCAAGGGCTGGTGCAAGATACGGTGGCAACCATTATGGATTTTGGGTTTCATGATGCCGATCGAGCAAGATAATTGAAGACTCCGGCAGGAGAAATGTTTACGCCAAGATATGTACCATCTGGATTGTTGGTGAGCATCAAAGGATATCAAGGATGCAGTGGATGGGAAAGCTTTACGCCGCTCTGTGCGAAGCATACGAATAGCTCCGAGGAGGCGGAGAAGTTGGCTCGTTCTTTCTACTTTTTTGAAGCAGAAGAAGTGGTTGTGAGCTACAGTGGGCTGCAAATCCGCAGATGTGGTTTTCGCGCCACGAACGCACATTGTCTGACCAGCACGGCTTCGCAGGGCTTGACTCTTCGATCTGGAACAGTTGTGGATTGTGGTCGTCAGAAAGAAAAGGACGATGATGAATGGTGGTTGCATCTGTATGTGATGCTTTCCAGAGTGACTTCTTTGTCGGACCTGCTGTTGGTGCGACCGCCGCCCCGAGAATTAGGAAAGGGGGCCGCCGGTCGGCGTAGCCAAGAGCTTAGAAAAGTTTCAGCAGCGTGCGACGGAGTGTCGCGCGGGCATTACTGTGAAACATGGACTTCGTGGCGATGGCAAGTCGAAGTGAGTGATTGAATAGACCTTTGGCATGCGCTGGCAAGTCGACGTGACGAGCTAGCCACATCATGGTCTGACATCCTGACCCCTTTGGCATGTGCTGGCAAGTCGACGTGACGAGCCAGCCGCATCGTGGTCTGACCTCTTGACCTCGCATGCTGACATCGGATTGGCGAATTATGATCGGGTAGGATTGGGCATTCCATGTCATGTGAAGATAAATAGTCAGGAGCAAGAATGAATGAAGGTAATTAACAGTATCTGTGATGCCTGTCCGATCAGAATTTGTCGCACCAGGCGAGTCGACGTGATGAGTCTTGTAATCCAACCATCAACGTGCAAGGATGAAAAGGATCATGGAAAAAGGGAGTGTCCTTGTTTGAGATGATTCGTAGTGGAATGCATCACTTGAGCGTGGTTAGGCCGCTGGATAGTTGCCAGGTATTGGTCAGAAGATCTGGTGCGACGGCAGCTGTGTTTGCTGTGCTTCAATGAACGCACAGGCCAGTACTGTAATGCATCAACTCCAAGACATTCAACATACTCACCGACGATTGGAAGGTGTCGTGAACGCTTTGGTTTTTTTGGTCAGGCCCTTGGGCTTGCCGAAGCTAATGCGCTGTCATTTGGTTCTTTGATTCATGGCAAATCAAGTCGGTACTGTGTTGAATCTTTTCAGATCAGAATATGATAGATTGTAACTATATTAGTGCAGAGAAAATAAAAACCCAAGTGAGTTTGTGTGCACCTGTCTGCCAAGGCCTCATCCATTTTTTTTGGTCCACGGAAGCAGAAAACTCAGAATGCGCAACACTTCACAACTCAACTTGTGATAGATTCCATTGCTTGTGTGTTCTTTCATTTGTTGGTCATCTTTCGACGCTACGCTTTGCTCCAAGGACCTTGTGGACTACACCTGTATGCTAGCCGGTCATGTTGCCAGCGGCCATGCAAAATTGGTTTGATTAGGTTGGTTGTCATTGCAGTGTTCAGATCCGGAGTGTAGGAATTGAAGGAAGTTGATGAACTCGGTTTCATTGTTGGATTCCGGCCAGGTTTTGGTCAGAAGATGTGAGTGTCGATCTTCGGGAGGACGATGGTAGTCAGTGTCACTCGCTGGGAGTCCTTGCATCTCTCTCTCTGGAAGTCAGGTTCAGTCTTTTTCACGTTTGTTTTGATGTCGTAGCCTTCTAGCTCGAAGCATTCATTGGTCATTCTGTTTTCGAGCTTGTTCTGTGCTTTGTAGGATTTTTGGTCT